AATTGATGTTTTTTTTCTGATGTTAAACCTAAGCTATGTTGTAAATAGTATGTTGTATGTTGTAAATAGTTGCAACAAGTACTTTCAGTAATGTATAGAACAGTTTGTTTAAATGTGTAAAAATGTATTTACAGGACAACAAAAATAAATGTATAGAATAATGTTTTGTGAAAAAACTATAAACTGCATTAAAAAATTAACAATGTACATAATTACTTCTCTTTTATTTACACATGTGAATATGCAAAACAAAAATACAAAATGTACAGAAAGTACTCTTTGTAGAAAGGGCTCATTTACAAATAAATTACACTACAAAAATGAATAATGTATTTAACTTATTAATTTCATTTTGAACCAAAAATAAACTACAGAAATTAGGTTGTTCCACTGACAATGTGACATTTAAAAAAAAGTCACATTGTCTTTTCCCACTGTTTTCTCTTGGCTAATAAATAATGTATTTGTTAAGCATTCTCTCAAGAAGAGAAAACAGTCTCTCCATTCTCTCCTTGCTCTCCTGTGCTCTTCTCTCCTCTGTCTCTCTCTTGATGTAAGAGAGAATTTGATGTCCTCCCTGAGTAGCTCCACTAGCTTCCACTCACTCCCTCACCTGTCCCAGGACACTTGCAATCCTAAGGCAGAGCAAATAAACCATGCCTGATAACAACAACAGCACAATGAATTTCAAAAATCTCTCTATTAACTCGCTTACTTTGTATTTTTTAAGTCTTTCCCCAGTAGGCTCATTTTCTCCAGAATAGTCCTAAAACAAGAGAAAATGGATTTGGTTAAAACATTTGTAGACATGACAGCACTACAAAAACACAACAAAAAGAAAGACTATTGCCTTATATAGTGGTCGTCTTATTGTTTGTGGGCTTTGTTTTTTTAAACCCTGACTTTTAACACTTGTTTCACTAGGTATTTGAGTAAATGAAAACACAATACTTACATTTGAATGTGAATTCCCCCACAAAACTGTAATCCTCCATGTTCTTTGAATATAAATTCCATCGTCATCTGCGCGCAAGTGATTCTGGGATATGGTAGGGTGTGAAGTGTCCATCAGGGTTGTGGCAGGTTGTGTTTGCGGAACGATGTATGTTATAGTAGCTGGGGTGGCCAGCCAAATTTCAGGGGGGGCCGGTGCCACCCCTGGCCACCACGTAGACACGCCCCTGCCTGGGAAATGGAGGGTGCACTGTTGCCAACTAATTTTCAGGGGTAGTTGCTAAAGGAAGGTCGATTTGTTGCTAAAAGTTGCTAAATGACGTTGTGATGTCATTGCGTGATGACGTCATTACGTAATCACAATGCAAAAATTGTCACTACATCTTTTATATGTTAATTTAGATTTGTTCGTAAAATAATATAAATGCATAATATAATGTTAAAATATAAATAACTTTATATACAACATTGAATTATTGAACACTTACACATTTTTGAAGGATTACAAGTTTTTTTTTATTAGCTAGTGAGCTAGTAAAACTACACATTCTGACCGATTAGTTTTAAGCAGTGTATTAGTAGTTGCAAATAGCAATAATTTAATTAACGTGATGTGTGTACTGCTAGGCATCTTTGGTTTCCTCTTTTTGTGAAATTTAGATGGAAAATGTGTGCCTTTTATTGTTCGAGTCACTTATCAAAAGTTGCTAAAAGTAGCCAAATAAAATGTAAAAATAGCTCAATTTGTTGCTAGGTGCTTTTGGAAGAAAAAGTTGCTAGGGTAGTCTGAAAAGTTGCTAAATTTAGCAACAAAATTGCTAAATTGGCAACACTGGGAGGGTGCATTTGAAGTCGCTTTCGAAATACGTCAGCCTTCGTCGCGCTGCGGTGACGCAATCTGCCTTGGAATGCGGTCTTCGGAGGGTGCATTCTGAATTGGGACAGCTTACGTCGTGACGCAATCGCACTTCAAATGCGCACTTTGGAGTCCGCACACTTCAGTTTGGTGCTGCGTCTCAATGTGCCTACTTATGGCTCTTTTCCACTGCATGGTACGGCTCGGTATGGTTCACTTCAGCACCTAGATGGCACTCTCATGTTGTCTATGCAGCGCTGCTGAAAAAGCCCTGTTGCTGAGAGAAAGACACACACAAGTGCTGCGTCTCAATGTGCCTACTTATACTACGCCCTTAAAGTATGTACTTTAAGAAAAAGTACACACTTTTGAATGTGTAGTAGAAGAAGAGTAAGCAAGCTTTGGGACATACTATCACGTCACACAATTGCGTCTTTAACGGACTGCTCTGTCGCCTAGTTACACGCACACCCTATCACTGTAAACTGGCCTGTTAATCTTCTTGTCACAGTTAACATCCACCACATTTCATTTCATTTAACATCCCACTGTATTGGAGAGAAAAGAAGTAGCATGTTGATCTGCCAGCCGTGAGTCTTTATGCGGAGAACTCCGCATATGTTTGCATAATGATGCATTTAAAAGTGAATGGCCAAACGGATGTTTATAAATGTTCACATTGTTGTTTCAGATGAAATATAACACAGATAAAATTAAATAAATATTTTTTACCAGGTTAAATGTTGATTATTAGTAACTCAAACCCCTTTTTGTAAACCTCTCTACATAACCGTCGATCGCGCGCATCCGCTACGTTTGTAGTTTTTCTAACGCATTTTATTCGTGTTTGTAGTTCTTGGCCGAATCCTTCGCCAAAAGGGCCCCAGATATCAGCCCAGTTGCAACCCCTATGGGCCCCACATAGGTGTGTTGGCTGGGTTACTGAGCCGTGCCGAGCCGAGTCGTACCACGCAGTGGGAAAGCGCCAAGAGTGTGCACGGATCCACACTTCAAAAATCGACCTGAAATAGTAGACCATGGGGGACTTTTGAATCCGTGTATCATTCGATCATTCGACCCCTGCTCTCGACAGACGGCACCCCAGGGTGACGCGGCACCCCGGTTGGGAAACACTGCGGTTGGGAAACACTGGTCTAGATCTTTCACCAGTTCTTTCTTCTGTGTAGACCATCGGTTCTTAAAGTGATAGGGGGTCCGCAAAATAATTTTCTTTAGCCTAAAGTATTTCCAGACCGTAAAGTCGCTTTTTTTTCTCTCTCTACGGCTCTGGGTTTGATCTTCGGCTGACCAATCAGCAGAAAGGGGCGTTTAATTCCCGCCCATGTGTAGAAATCGAATATTCAAGCTGTTTATTCATTTTTCCACCCATGAACGAAAAACGAAAATTTAAGCTGAATTCTCGTTTTTCGTTTTTTGGAAAAAAAAAAAAAAAAAAACGAAAAAGGAGCCGTTTTCTAATTGTTCTACTTTCAATATTAAATAAAAAAACAAATGATACACGGATTCTTTTGGCATACTGTTTTCAACATACTATGCTTTGGGACACACTTATTCTAATCTCACATACTAGGATGGATAGTATGAACACTGAGACGCAGCGCACGACAGCCTTCATCGCGCCGCTGTGACGCAATCGCACTTCAAATGCGCCCTTCGGAGTCCGTGCACTTCACTTTGGCACACAGCTCTCGTTTTGTGAGCGACTTCAAACGATTCATTGAAAAGATCCGACTCAGTAAGGTGATACATTCACGATTCGGACATTGCTAACTTAAACTGGAAGCAGCTTGTTCAACGTTGTTCGGCATTATCAGTTATGGAGGTCATTGGTCCTGATAGTGATTGGAGGAGCCCAGCCTTTCGACAGAAAGTAGTGGCTCAAATGTGAGTATACAAATATTTTTTGTGTATGTTTTATATTAGCGCATTCTGGAAATAACAGCTAGCTAGTTAGCTGCTAACTAACGGATGCTCGGATATGTTACCAGCACATCTGTTAAACAGTCGAAATCTTCATTAATAGACTGTATGTGTATTTATATATGGTATCGATCTGATCATGGTATTATGTTCCTTTAATGAGATGACATTTTTTGAGGTTGTCTGGAGCATGTTTAGCTATGCGGCTAGCTAATATAAAGTTAGCCTCATTAAATATTAGTACAAATATGTAACGTTACAAGCAAAACAGTCTGCAGATATAAATACTGTTCAACATGTTGTGTGCAAAAGAAAACAACTTTTAAGATATTTACTCAGTCTTTCTGATAATAAGCTGATCGTAATAAGCTTTTCTAATAGTCTCGGGGCAGTCGTGGCCTAATGGTTAGAGAGTCGGACTTGTGACCCAATGGTCGCGGTTTCGAGTCTCGGTACCGGCAGGGATTGTAGGTGTAGATTATAGGCTTTGCAATGATTTGTATCGTGAAAAGCGCTATACAAATCAAATTGAATTGAATTTCTATAGTGTTCCATTTATGAAATCCATTTATTTCATACTATGGAAGTCCATGGCTACTATCAAATGTCAGGTTGCCAACATTCTTCAAAATAACATTTCTTTCAGCTGAAAGAAAATCATACAGGTTTGGAACAAGTAAATTTTAAGGGTTAGAATTTTTTTTTGGCTGAGCTATACCTATAAGTTTATAATTATTATTTTATTGCAACATGTTACATTCATAAATACAGCTAAATATGTTGATAATATATTTAATTTCTTTGAAGAACTTCAAAGCTTGTAAGACTATTCTATGTAGTAGTACTTCTAAGATAACAATACACTTAATTTCAGAATTCATGTATTGAAATCTCTAATAGAATGTTTTATCTTTTTGCTAGTAAATGTTTAATTGTTGCAATAACTGAATGGAAAACAGCTCTTCTAATAGTGCTCATGTTCTTGATATTTCTTAAATGATTGATAGTCAGTAAACAATAGGTAACATTTCTTATTTGTCATGCATCAGTTGTGATAAAACAGACTTCTGCTTTATTATATTGCAGAGATGAAGCCATGAGAAAAGCAGGAACTGCTCACACAAAGTCCAGTACTGACATGGAAAACCATGTTTTTATCAAGGCAAAGACCAGAGTAAGTGTTACTTTTAAATGTGCATGCTACACTCCAAGAGTACAGACTTGTTAGTATGAGATTGTTAAAAGTGCAATAAATATACTATCCTTTTTTCAACAGGAGGAGTATTTGTCTTTAGTTGCGAGACTGATAATTCATTTTAGAGACATTCGTAAGTAGCCAATATACTATGTTTTCATTGTTAACTTTTTTTTCTTTTAGTTGTGATGTTTGTATGTGTACTGTATATTAATCAGTTTGTTTTTCATTGCAGATAAAAAGTCACAAGGTGGGCCTGGTAAATTTAAAGAGCTATTTTAAATCTTCTTATGTCCACTATTAAACTGTAAGAATTCATTTTCTGCCAAATTTTTAAATTTATGTTTATTTTTAGACCCCATGAATGCCCTGCAAATTATACCAGGAGTGGGTGGAGGTGGTCCTGGAGTTATTGGCATTGGACCACGGCCCCCTGGTGCACAAATGGGTGGTATGGGGCAAATGCAAATGCAAATGGGTCAACATGCCATGCAGGGAGTAGCGGGAGGCCAGCAGGCTGGTAAGTTCAATAGCTGTCAGCTGATTGGAGAAATTGTGTTTAATAATCTTATTATTAATTCCCATACATTGCCTGTGATGCAATATCAATCTCAGCAGGGGCTGCCGGGCAGATGCCGATGATGCAGCAGCAGCAGCAACAGCAGCCGTCCATTCAGTTTCAGCAGTTCCAGTCTCAGCAACAGGCAGCCATGCAGCCTCAGCAGCCAGCAGCTATGCAGACTGCCATGCAATTCCAACAGATAAGGCAGCACCATCAGAATCCACAAATGCAGCATCAAAATCAACAACAGCAGCAGGTGCAGAATCAGCAGCAACAACAGAACCAGGTAATGGAGAATGGAAAGATTAATGTGATGATTGTTTGAATACTGCATGAGTGTCTTTTGAATTAAAGGGTTCGTTTACGTAAAACAGAAAATTCTCTAATAATTTGTCATAATTGTACAACTTATTCCAAGTCATCTGTAACCATAGTTACGTGTGTATGTATATATTTATTTATTTATTTATTTATTTATTTATTTTTATTTATTTATATATTTATTTGATGAAAATGAAAATTTAAAGGGGTCCTATTATGTGTTTTCACTTTTTCAACTTTAGTTAGTCTGTAATGTTGCTGTTTGAGCATAAAAAAGATCTACAAAGTTACAAAGCTCAAAGTCCACTTCAAAAGGAGATATTTTATTGAACAGAAATCACTTTTGAAAAACTACAACGAACGACTCGTTTGGACTACAACGCATATTTTCCGGGATTTGTGATATCTCGAATATCGATGAATGGGACGAGACCTGGTTGAGCTGCACTAGACAAGGCAACAAGTGTTATCATGTCGGAGACACGCTAGCTTTCCCAAGGCAGACGAACTTAGAGTGGTTACAATCATCCAGGTTTAAATCGCGCTCAAATTGACTTGATTTTGAGCAATATTTACACTGAAGCTCGCAGGTGGCTATGGTAAGGGGCGTGACATTTCCCGACCAGGCGCCGAGTGGAGCCAATCACAACACTCACTGGCGCCGTTCATGCCAGACTGGGGAGAGAGGTGTTGTAATAATGTAAAATATGTGAAAAATGTGTTTTTTGAACAACCTATTATGAGAGCCTGTTCTGGTACACCCCCCAAAACAAAATTTAAGACTTTGTAAAAGAGCATAATAGGACCCCTTTAAATCAGTAATCACTGATAATTTCCCCTCTTTTGGGAGAAATACATTTAAGATCTAGTCTAATAATCTGTGAAAACTAGGGCTGGGTTGATGATATTGATTAATTAGTATTAACGGATCTTAATTTTGATAAACCGATTTTCAGATGAACCGTCTATGCTGTTTTCTGTTGATGCGTGAAAAGAACTTCACTAAACACTTTTTGTAGCACACCTGCCATCCAGTAATCAGTTTTTTTTTTCAATCGGTACTCAAATAAAAAACTGAGTTGAATAAAAACATTTAAATGGTACATAAGGCAGTATATCAACTTTTTAATGATAAAGTTTTATTTCTACTTCAGTTTCTTGTTGAAATATAATGATTTAAATAATGGCTAACTTGTTTTATTTAATTTGTTTAAATAAATGAAAACATCACTAGCTGGTTAAGTAAATGTGTGCAATTTAAATGTTTTTGTACAACTCTGTTTTTTTTTTTAGTATTGATGATTATATATAAATATCAGTGGGGTTATGTGCAACAAACTTCCATATTCTGTAAAACAGGACGTTTGATTTTGGAGGGTGTTGTTATTTTAACCTTTAATATTGTAGTAATATACCAAATCTCATGATTCCCTGTATAGTGTATGCTATTAGTAGAGAGATCTGAATTGAATCAAGAGTTTATGAATTGGAATCAAATGGATTAATATTATCTGTCAATACCCAGCCCTAGTGGAAACCGAGTTCCTTTGGTGATTTCATTTCTCATTTATTTATTTTTGTTTTAATGGCTTTGACTCCAGTTGCACCAAACAAGAATGCAGCAGCAGCAGTTAGCACAAATGCAGCAACTGCAACAACACCACCAGCAGCAGCAGCAGCAGCAGCAACTGCACCAACAACAGGTCCATGCTCAGGCTCAGGCTCAGGCTCAGGCTCAGGCCCAGGCTCAGGCCCAGGCTCAAGCCCAGGCTCAGGCTCAAGCCCAGGCCCAAATGCAGCAGCAGCAACAGCACCTTCAAGCCCAGGTTCAGGCTCAGGTCCAAGCTCAAGGTCAAGCCCAGGTACAGGCTCAGGGAGTGGCAGGTCAGATGCCCCCTCACTCACAGCAGCAGCAAGTCATGGTGCCCCAGTCATTAGCACAAATGGTTCCCGGACAGCATCAACCCATCAGCTCACTCAGCCAACAACAGCAGCAACATCTGAAACTCCAGCAGGTAATGCAGGTAAACTCAACTGCCATAGCAGAATGCAATCATAATGCAAAATGATTGATAATAAACACTTTTTGATTATTGACATCTGTCTTGATTGATGTGGTCAGATGAGATGCATATTATACCTTGTAGTCTCAGTGTCTTTTTATACCTTCCTGTTTGCTTGCGTTTATACAAGCAGGCAAGAGTATTGCAGCAGCAGCAGCAACAACAACAACAACAACAAAAGCAGCAGCAACAGCAGCAGGTTCAACAGGTCCAGCAGGCAGGCCAGCTCAGCGCAGTCCCTGGCCAGGTAAGCCCAGTGCAAGCCGTGGTGAGGATTGAGATAAGAGACTGAGCGTGGTGGAGTGATTGCATGCAACCAAAATCAACACTTGAATTTCTTTTGGATGTCAAAACTCTTTATTCCTTGCCTGGTGATGGGCCGTAGTGTAATGCACATGTCCTATTAACAACAGAAGGATTATACATCAATATTATTTTTGTCAACAAGAGGTTAAGTTGTGGGCCACAGTGGTGAGCTTCATTATTCTCTGGTCTATATATATATTAGATGACATTAAAATACTCTTTAAGCATCACAGTGCAGCCCTCAAAAACTAATGAATTGTAATTTTAAAGCTTTACCAATTTTTGCCACTACCCTTCAAACCACTAGAATTTACCCAAAAACTCAAGAAGTTTTTAATAATTTAAAATTAAAATACTAATAAATAATATTTAGTTTCGCCTTTTCTTTTATTCTTTTAATATGAATATATAAAATCATTTTTATAAACTTAATTTGATGTGGACATCAAAATGGGATGTCTCATCTTTGACCCCTATATATATATATATATATATATATATATATATATGTGTCTGTATGTATGTGTGCATGTGTGTAAAATATACAGGTTGATACTGATTCTGAAAAAAATCTCACTGCTTGAAAGGGTAGTTAGTTCTACAGCTAATCTTACTTAATAAATGTCCCAACACTTCTTGCTACAAATGCGTTCTGGAGGATATTTATGCTATTTTTGTTAGCACTTGCCATTAGCAGGTATATATATATATATATATATAAATAAGCTAAACTAGTGGCCTGTCTTACTTTCTCAAACACATTTAGTCAGATCTCTCCCTCAAGGGTAACCCTCCCATCTGTGAGCATTCGGCGGATGATAACATTTTGCTTCATGTTGCTTTCATTCACCTTGTCCCATATGTGTGGCCATAGTTTATTCTAAATCAAGAGATGGAAATCTGTATTCTATTGCAGAGCTGTGAAATCCAACAGAGCAGTCAGTTTGTTTGAGTAGCGTTAGTTTTAAATCTCATTTGCATTTTGTGTGTATGTGCAGCTAACAGCCTGACTGCATGCTTGCTATTTTGAGCCCACAAGCACTTTCTGCATGCACCTGACAAGAAATGCATTCCTTTTTAGGTTAGCCTACACAAAGCTGTGTAAATAGTTTGCAATGATTGGTAACATACTCTAATATTGTCCTTTGGGCCTTTTAAAGGATTTTCTAAATATATTTGAAGGACGGTATTGATAGTTGCATAGCAACCACACGTCGTTTGACCGCTCTGAAAGCCATTAGATGGCAAGCTCAACTACAGCTTTAATTTACAGTCAAAAGGCTTGTTGTTGGAGATGCATAAGGACCCATTGCATCTTTTCTTGCCTTGCATGGTTCTGGTACATGAAAAGATGGCATGAAATCCATTGGCCTGTGGCTTGCCTGGTCTTGACAACCAGTGTTGTTAAAGGAACATTCCAGGTTCAATATAATCTAAGCTCAATTGGCATCATTTTGGTTATCACAAAAAATAATTTCAACTAGTTATCGTGAGCCTTTTACAGCAAAAGTAAATGTGGGCCTTTTTTGGAGTATTTAAAAGCAAAAATGTGAAACCTATAATTCTGTGAAAGCACTTAAATTAATTATTCTGTTAAAACCTGTGTTATTTGAGCTGTAAAGTTATTCTTGTCGTTTTTACAACCATTTTAGGTGTTACTTTTCTGGGTAAAGTTACACCTAAACATAAGCAAGCAACTTTTTTTCACACTATGTTAATATCTTACATTTGGCTTTAGTATTGTAATCGATTGGCCCCATTCACTTCTGTTGTAAGTCAAAAATAAATTTTTGTAGTCACAAATGCTGTCAATTGAGCTTAACTTGTATTGAAGCCAGGATATTCTTTTACATGTTCGAGAGAAATGAGAGGAAGCTCACTGCCACATCTTTATTTCTGGAGAGCCTTGTTTTGCATAATTGAATGTGACAGTATGTGCATCTGTGCTTGCAGACCTGTCGAATCTGTTTCTGTTTGCATTCTTGCATGTGCTTCCTCATGTCCGCTGATGCACTGCATTTATTGTTTTGCTTGTGACATGTCTGTTGTCCCCTCTGTCCTCCTCAAAGATGATGCCCCGTCCTGGGATGCAAATTCCACCCCGGTTGCCCCGCGCCACCCCGAACTCTGCCATTCCTCAAAACCCCGTTGCCATTGGAGGACAGCAAATGCCACAGGTATTTACCGTAGGGCTGAGTGCTGGGTGTCAGCGCTGCAACCCAGTGGGTGCGTACATCTGTGGCTTTCCACTAGAGCGAAGGCTGTCCATAATCCACACTCATCTGCCTCTCTTTACCCCCCACTAGTTTCACAATCAGAAACAATTAGTCAGAAATGACCCAGAAGCACTTAGGCAGTGTAAAATTTAAATGAAAAGTGTGTGGCACAGGTAAGTGGACTGGAGTTTGTTATTCTCTCAAAGTGACATGCTAGGAAGCTAATAGGAAGCAACCATCTACTGGTTATATAGCGCCATCTACTGGTGCTGTACAGTCAAAGCAAGCTGATCTTGACCGCATGCATGTCTGTTATCTCTAGATAACTGGCTTCACCAGTGCAGTGCCAGCTTTCCTCCACTCGTGTGGTTACTTTGAACCTGTTTTCATTTAACTTCTCTCCAAAGGGTCAGCAAATGATGTCATCACCCTCCCCAGTTCAGGTGCAGACGCCCCAGCCGATGCCACCTCCCTCCCAGCCTCAACCGTCCCCCCAGCCTCCTTCCTCTCAGCCCAACTCTGTCGGGTATACTGAAATAGTTTAGTTTTTCTACTATTTATTGACAACTACAAATGGTTAAGTAAACCTTTTTCCTTCCAGCTCTGGTCCGACCCCTTCTCCGGGAGGTTTCCAACCCAGTCCCTCTCCTCAGCCATCCCATAGTCCTGCATCTTCACGCACCCCCCAGAGTTACCCCCTGCAGGTACCTTCCCCTGGACCCCTCAACACACCAGGTACAGAACAGCTTTCTTGTTATATTTCTTGTAAAAAAAAATTTTGATTCAGAATAATGATTCATTATTGGGATGAAATATACACACACACACACAATATATATATAATATTATATATTAGTTGATATAATAATAAAATAGTAATAATATAATAATAATAATAATAATATAATAATTATTGTGCATACTTGTTTTTTTACATTTTGACTTTATATTTCCTTCATCTATTTCTCACTAAGTCCATGTCCACACGTACACGGGTATTTTTATAAACTGAGTTTTTCCTTCTTCCGTTTTTAAAAAAATCTCTGTCCACATGAAAACGCAAACGCATGCTATGAAGCACTGTCAAGAGCCTGCCAAACCAACAGGTGGCGATGTAATCTCAACCGTAAAGCCATGTTGGCCAATCAGAAGCCTGAAAAAGTCTCCAGTAGGCGGATATAACAGCGCATGCTCTGATGTCACAAGCCAAAAACTCCGGAGTTTTTGAAAATCTTCACCCTGGCAGGCGTTTTCAAAAATGTTCGGTTTCAGTGAACTGGTGCTGCGTTTGCGTGTGGACGAACGGCCAAACCGCATAGAAAAAGCTGCGATTGTAAAAATAACCGCGTTCGTGTGGACAGGGCCTTAAAGTTAATCTTTAAAAACTGATCAATTTAATAACACTCTTAAATGTAATTTTTTTTAGCAAATCTCAAAGTGAAACTTCACATTATAATTTTGTGATGCCTAAATTCAGTTGTAGCATTTAAAATGAATGATTTTAGTTTTTATTATTTTTTTCTTCAAGTAAACATTTTTGCCATTTATTGGTTATCGGCCATGACATAAAAATAATTATCTGCTTATCAGAGATGGCCAGAATTTTAATTTTGTTGCGACCATAATTATTTGATTGATTTTTCGGATTACAGGCAATCCAGGCTCAGTGATGAGCCCAGCGGGGGCCTCACAATCTGAGGACCAGCTTTACATGGACAAACTGAAGCAGCTGTCAAAATATATTGAGCCACTACGCAGGATGATTAACAAAATAGACAAAAATGAAGGTACTGGAGTCTTTTTCTCTTGATGCTGATTTTTTTTTTCTCCCCCATTTGATCTTAAAGATCATGGTTTATGTTTGGTCTTTACAGATAGGAAGAAGGATTTGAGCAAAATGAAAAGTTTGCTCAATATTTTGACTGACCCCAACACAAGGTAAGAAAGCAGACATGTTGAACATTGTCTCAGTGTCAGATCTTTGGCTTGTGGTTAAGGTTATTGCTGTCCTCCACTAGATGTCCACTTAAAACATTACAGAAGTGTGAAATAGCATTGGAGAAACTAAAGAATGACATGGCAGTGGTAAGTAACTTTCATTTCAAGATAGGGAGTCAAAGTTAAGTTGCATTGTTCAGCCAGTTTCTACAATGATGACTGACTTTGGTTTGCAGCCGACTCCTCCCCCTCCTCCAGTGCCCTGTACTAAAAAGCAATACCTATGCCAGCCGCTGCTGGATGCTGTCTTGGCCAACATCCGCTCCCCAGTTTTCAACCATTCACTTTACCGCACGTTTGCTCCTGCTATGACAGCAATTCATGGACCCCCAATCACGTAAGATCAACAGCCGAAAAAAATATATATTTTCTCTCATTTATGTCAGTTATCTTCCTCAGTGAATCATCAGTGCATTGCTTTTGTGGTATATAATGAACAGTACCTTTCAGATGTTTTTGAACGTTTCTTTTATTTCATAAAAAAAACAGAAAAACGGCAATATTGTGAAATTATTATTACAATTTAAAATAACTTCCATTTCGCTATATTTTGAAATGTAATTTATTGCTTTGACAAAGCTGAATTTTCACTAGTCTTCAGTGTCACATGATCCTTCAGAAATGATTCTAATATGCTGATTTGATGCTTGAGAAACATTTCTTATTATTATCATTCATGTTGAAAGCAGTTGAGTTTTGTATTATTTTTGTATAAACTGATTTTTAAGTATTCCTTTTAAAGTTTTTATTCAAAGAATCCTTATAAAACCTTAAAGAACAGCATTTAGCTGAAATAGAAATCTTTTGTAACACTGTAAATGTCTTTACTGTCACTTGATAAAATGTGTCATTGCTGAATGAAAGTATAATAATCTTAATGATCAAAAACTTTTGAATGATAATGTCTATTATAAATTTCTCGTTATAAAATTGCTCTCATACTAGGTTGTTCGAAAAACACATTATTTTTCACATATTTGAATACATTATTACAACACCTCTCTCCCCAGTCTGGCATGAATGGCTCGAATAGTTCCTGTATCAAATGAAGGCCCGCCTTCTGAAATACGAAATGTGCTGTGATTGGTTAGCTGGGCCAGTGTGTGCTGTGATTGGCTCCACTCGGCCCCTGGTCGGGA